TATTCTCACTCCTCTGTCTCTCTGCCAGCTGCTGTAGTGCAGTTCTTTTTCCCCATTTCTTAAACATGTTTTCACAGAGGCGTTCCTCTCCTATCATTTTACTGTTGGGCTCAGCCTTGGCCAGCGGTAGGTCCCTCTTTGGAGCTGGCTGGCATTGGTTCTGTCAAACTCAGGGGAAGCTTCCAGCAACTTCTTGCAGAAGCCACCCCTACAGCCCCCCCGCCACTAAAATCCGGCCAGGCAAACCCAATACAATTCCTTATGAACTTCATTGTTCCAAAATGTAGAATTGGATTAACAAACTTCTTCCAAGTTTCATGGCAGCTGTATTTCAGCAAATCTTTTATGATATGGTTTTGTTTTCCTCTTTTAGATAAAAAATCAAGGTGAATTTAATTGTAGGATATTAAGACCAGTCTTCTCTGCTTGAAGGTAAAAAGCCACACGATTACTTGAGGGCACACGTACTTCGACTGATTTTGTTCTCCTTAGATCTTTGGTTGCTGGCTGGAGTTAAACCACCACAGTGCCCGGCAACACTTTCTTTTTCTTTCCTCTTCTTAGCTGCCAGCAGCTGGGGAGAGCAGTTGAGCATTTGGAGTTGCAAAGGGGAGGCAGCTGCCGAGAGCTCACATTCCCAAAAGAGCTTCTCTCTGGGCTGCAGCGGGAAGGTAGAGACAGCTGAAGCCATATTCCCTTCCCTAGTGAGTGAGATGATTCGGATTTTTCAATTTAAAAACTGCAGGATGTTGTCAGGGAATACATTTTTGATATAAGACAAAATGTATTCTCCTTTTTAACACACTCAGTCTTGAATGTTGTCACTGAGAACCTCAGGAATCACAGAAAATACTGTAAATTTGTGTCAAGTACAGGACAAAAATGTATGGATCTGCAAGGATAGAACCTAATTCTTTTGTAGCAGCAGTGTGGGAACAGGAAAAAATGCTGAAGATGTAAAATGTTGAGAGTCAACGATGCAGAGCAGGGAAAGTTTGATAATGGGTAATGGTGTTACAGGTAAAGTCATGCAGGTTAAACCATTTTCTCATGTATGGCACATAAAACTTCTCATTTTATGCAGAATATATAAAATGAAAGTAATGGTTTATGGAGAGTAAGATGTCCTGATACAAAGTAATTAATCACTGGAGTACAGTGAGACTCATGGTCCCTTTGCTCTGGGGTTAGTTACCGCAGCGCAGTGCTTGCCACTAATGTGTGTTCTTGTAGACAGAATCCATTTGTTTTATGAACTGGATAAACAACCAGCTGACAACCATCTGTCTATTTTTAGCAAAAAGAGCAATTTTCATATAAGTCTTCTCAAAACCTCTTTCATCATGCTCTTGTTCAGCTGATTTTTCCAAATGTCTGACTTAAAGGTTTCAAGTAGTCTTTTTTCTGTATATAGTTTCTGTTTATTTTCACTGCCTACTGTGTGTCACATTGCTCCATTTCTGCTGTTACTTCAAAATCAATTGTAGTTTTAATGAAGTGTTTACAATAACATATGCTATCAATTCCTGAAGCGTTAATTTTCTGGTGAAAGTGAGTTTGGAAGATGGACAAAATATCATAATTAAAGCGACTATATTTTGATTCTTAAGAGAACAGCATGGTTTCTTCGATGCTGCCGTGGTTATTTCAGCGTAATAAATGAGAGTCTCTTGACTGTGCAGCGTTTAAGGGGAAATGCTTTTCCTACATTTATAAACTGATTTGGACCAGTTGTGGCAGGTTCCTTGTGCTTGATTTACATGCTGGCCAGTGAGTGCAGGCCCTCATCAGAAACCTTTGCAGAGAAACAGCATTTCTGCAAGAGGGTGCAGCCCTTGCTGAGGCACACAGCCATGTGGCAGTGGTAATTGCTCTGTGCAGGTGCTGCTCCTCTGGGTTAACTCTAAAGGCAGCCAGGCTGTGTGATTTTGATCCTCAGGTGTGTAGGGTTTTGGTCCTGAGAGAATTCAGAGTTCATATACAAGTGTTAATTTTACAGACTAATGTAGGGAGCCTGGAGGCCTAAGAAAGTGGAATCCTCTACTTTGATGAAGGATAAGAGCTTAGAAAAACTTACTTCAAATGCTGTGATATTTTTCAGGGTGGAGACCTAGACTTCAAAATTCAGGAGTACAAAGAATCTGGGAGGATATTCACTCAAAGACAAATAATAGACTGGTTTATACAGTTGTTACTCGGAGTCAACTATATGCATGAAAGGTACGATCACTTAATATGAGAGCATTTATCTCATGAGAACAGAGAGGGAAATGGAGAAAAATCCTGACTGTTTAACTGAACTAGCAGTTTGGGCTTGTTTTTTTTCACTTCTCAAACTCCAATTTAACAATTTATCAGTAAAAGTTTTGGTAATCTGAAAAGTCCAGTTTTGGTGAAGTCTTTAGTGTTTGTGTTTAGGGGATGCATTGTGCAGATTAAAGCAGAATAACAACAATGTTGCATTTGGACTAGATGATATTTCAAATGAAATATTCTATTATATAAGTTATTATTTTTGTCTTTCTTTTTCTCTATTTCCTCATGCATCTTCTATCTCTTGTTTTCCCATATGTCACTTTTGTCTACCCTTCTTGCTATTTTTCCCATCTTCTACTTGTTCTCAAGTAAATCTTAAAAAAAAATCTTACAAATAAAATTTCTTGGGTAAACATGTATATTAAATTACTAGGTTTCCTGAGAAGTCTTTTAATTCTCCAGTGAAAGCAGCAAGTTGATTTTTTCAAACAGCATTTCATTTTCTTCCTTTGAATCTTAGCTATTTAATAGCACCTCTCCAGATACATACAAATGGCTTGACAGTTTTATTTTTATTTGCATTTCTTGCATTGTGTTTTTTGACTTTATGCACATTAGAAAATGTAATCTTTATCTTAGGGCCAAACAACAGCTAGAATTTAAAACTACTTACAGAGATTAATTTCTATTACTTTTCATCATTGGGAGGATTTTTAAATTTTAAACTTGAAAGCTAAGTTATCTAGAATTAAATAGATTCAGTCCTCATCTGTCATTGATCTAACCAGAGAGGGAAGTATGAGACAGGCAACATAGTTCGGAGATGGAACATCTCTTATCTAGATGGAGACAGTGGGAAAGCATCATGTGGGCTCTCTGGCACACGTGTAGCCCATCGCATGTCAGCGCTCAAACTGATCCCACAGCAATCGGGCGAGGAGGCCGTTGATTCATTTCACCTCAATTAAACTAACGCCATGTCTTATCAAGCTATTTAAGTTTGTGAGTTCTAGTTTAGTTGAAGTTGTAGGGAACCCTTTTGGAAGCGCTGATAACGATTAAGTGAGAACAGGTTTTGTATAATGTGAAGATACTTTATTCTTCTAAGAGGCTGTCACAGATTAGGTTGCAAGAAATTGAGAAGGTGCAGTTTGTCACCACATGGTGTGTAGTATGTGATGTTAAGTCTGTAAAAGACAATTGTTGTTTTTCTTTTCCTTTTGATCTCTGTCTTTGTAAAATTCTTCCATCTTCCATGACATTAGTGTAGAAAATGCCCCTCCGTGTTTATGTGAAGCTCCTTAATGCCATCACCTGTGCACTGTCTCCTTTTCGGGGCTGGAGAGTAGCTGTGCTGGGCTGGCCTTCCTCAAAGGGAGTGAAGTTTAAATATTTGGGAGACTTGAGATGTCACTGCGAACATTTCAGCTTGGATGAGGTTGAATTTCCTTTTATATTGCAGGTGGATACTTCATAGAGATTTGAAAGCCAAAAATATATTTCTGAAAAATAATCTTCTTAAAATTGGTGAGATTTCCATACTTTTAAAAGCTATATGTTAGTATGATAGAACAGGCCAGCAGACATTTTGGCAGTAAGGAGATTTAAATAAGGTCATGTCAGATGCAGCATTTTGATGTGTGTTCAGACATGGATCTGACAGTCAGATGCAGGATGGGGGCCAGGAGAGGCAGTGATATCTATAGCCTTGAGGTTCTCCAGGCTTGGCTGGGCCTGAGCAGCCTCTTGTGCCTGTGAAGTTGGCCTTGCTTGTGAGGCCTCTTCAAGCGTGCATTATTCTATAGCACCATAAGTTTGTGGTGGTTTTGTTTTGAAGAACCGTAGAAAATTGAGGCGTTTTTCCATATTTTAAAATGCTTTCCTTTTTTTTTTTAGATATACAGTCATTGTATCATGTCTAACAAAAACCAGAAAGTATTTATATGCATAGATACCGGTTTGCATGAATAGATAATTGTTTCTGCTCTTACTTTTAGGGGACTTTGGAGTTTCTCGTCTTTTGATGGGTTCGTGTGATTTGGCAACTACGTTTACTGGCACACCGTACTACATGAGTCCAGAAGCACTGAAGCACCAGGGTTACAACACAAAATCTGACATTTGGTGAGCAGTCAGCATGCTGTTTGGTTGGACTGGGCATTTATTTTCTAGGTCAGCATTTGATGTTGTTTAGGAACGACTTTATTTTAATGGTTCTCTCAGTAGGGTGCTTACACTGCACCGTTAAAACTATTCCAGGATATTTGCATTATATATTGCAATTTTAAGCCTTGCTCTTTATGTTAAGAAGCATGTAGTATGCTGCTACTCTGGATTATCTGGGACTTCAAAAGGGAGTAAGATTCAAACCCTGTGTCTGTGATGACACAGGATGATTGTAGGCCAAGTTCAGGTTTTGCTAGGAAGGGGAAAATCTTTTTCTTTCTATAAATGAAAAGAAGCAAATTTCAGCAAAACTTCCTGGCTGAGAGGGAGGCAGAAGGACCTTTTCAGGAACTGAACTGAAAAAATAGGCAAATACAAAAGGGAAGGGCTTGGAAGGGCTAGATCAGAAAGTTCCTTTTCTATGTGTATTTTAAATCAGGGAATTTCCTTTGTAAACGATTTGTCCACTGCAATGTTGTTTGTTTGCTTGATACTTTACCTTCTGCTAGCTCTGCTTTTCCGAATTATACTGGTGATTGCAGGATATAATTCTAAAAGTTGAGAGCAGTCATCTGTACTTTCAACTGGTAGCAACCATTTTTCACAGTTAAGTTGTTTGGTCCGGACAACAGATGTGTCAGGGATCTCATCTCACTGCGTGTGTAGCTGAACTGAGATGGATTTGGTGTCAGATTCTCTTTTGTTCATCTGTATCAAAACAATTATCAGTTAATACACGTAGTCAATGGAAACGTATTGAGAGAAGATTTGAAAAGATGTCAGAACAAGTGAATAGACTGGGAAACAGGCAGGGAAACCTGTCTTTTGTGCTCTTCTGCTGTAAAGAATAATTTCTTTTATTGCAGTTGAAATGGAATGTAAAATACATGTTCACGTTCTGTTTGTGGTTACCAGTATCAATTCATAGAAGTCATGGAAGCTGTACAGAGTAAATGAAAGCAGAGTTTGGTCCCTCATCCTTTTAAAATTTACAAGATAGGAGAAAAAAGTTCCCCCCTCACAACTCAGTAACTATTAGATTTTTTTCTGCGCTTTCTGCATTCTGTAATATTCCCAAAGCCAAAACTGTCTATGATTCTATGAAAGCCGCACCAGGAGCACTCACCTAGGGGTGGAACTGCCCTCAGCAGGAGCTTCTTGCCCCAGCTGTGGGGCCACTGAGGAGGAGGTGGACCCTGACTTGCTGGACCCCCAGCCCACAAAACCCTTCTCTTCCTGAGCCAAGAAACTCTCTTCTGATCGGGACTTGTCAACTGCCGTCACTCATATGTTTGATACTTTCATCAGCTCATCGTGTAGTCTTTTAATAAGGATTCTGTTGGATTTTCTTGCGTTTGCCCCATTTGACAGGGGCTGAAAGATGAGAGGTGTCTGAGCACCTGGGGGAGCCCACCCTGGAGCTCCAGGTGAGGTGAAACCTGCCACTTTGCAGGAGATTTGGGTGCTTGTCAGTAAGTTTCTCAAGTCTTTTGTACATATCTTAAGTGACATTCTCATTTCAGAATTATCCTTCTCCTCTCTAGCAGGACTCAAAATACTACACACAGAAATTCAAAATCACGAGTGTTTCCATGTTAAATGTAAAATGATGTAAAATATCTTCTACAAAAGGCAGTTATGTCTGTCTTGCAATGTTATTGTGGTCCTCACCTTTGAAAAACCATAACATAGTTTGGAAAGATCTACAAAAGGAGATATCAAAAGGATATCGATGCTTGTGTAAACAATTAGCCCCAGGAACCTGCTGCCTAGAACACCCTGAAGCCTGTGCTGATGTAATTGAGCGTAAGTAGCTTCATCGTGAAAGGGTCAGAGGTGAGTTTTGTGGGACCAAAGTGCTTCTCAGGACCTTTGTCTTGCCCACTCATAGGTACAGAGAGCTGCAAACTGAACGTGCTGGCTGGAGAATTAATGACCACTTTAGAATGTTATAATGCTGGTGGTTAAACAAGCCAAGATTATAAAAGTAATTAAATGAGATATTTGATTCGTGGGCAGATTGCTTGTGGGAATCCCGAAGCAATATTCTCTTGCTCCTTACCTAGCAGAGCTTCAGGAAGAGAAGCGAGCGCTGCCTCCCTTGGGCTCCAGCAGCTCAGCAGCTGGGCTGGGAAGCGAGCGCCTTGCATGGGGACCCAGGGCTCAGCTTTCTTCAGTTCAGAGAATTGTATCCTGCAGTAAAAACTGTACTCAGTTCCCCTTGTTTTTGTGTTTATCCCTGTATTTTTCTTTCATGGGACAGATGGGGTTTTCCCTGGGTAGCATCTTCATGGCCCTGGGCATTATTTCATCCTTTTTAAAAGCCTCAGGTGTGGTCAGGGTACTCAACTAGGTGAATAAATGGGTTTCTCTGATGTGGCAAATCCTCTGCTCGATTAAGCAATTCCTAGCTGCCGGAATCAAGCAGCCTCCAAAACAGCAGTTACTGTGCAGTCTGTCACCTTGGGGTTTTCCTTCCTTTATACCTCCCCTTGGCTGGTTTCCAGTTTCGTTCGATGCTTTCAGATGCCATGTGTGAAGGGTTTTTTTGTTGTTCTTTTAAAGTGTCTTCTCATGTAGCAATTACCTTGTTTTAGAGTTTGAACATACATCATAAATATGGATCATTGTCTATATGTTACCGTTCACTGATTTTGGAAGTTCAAAAGCAAATTGACAGTTAAATCTTTAAAAACCAAGCCAGTTATTCATGTACATCAGCAGTTGGTCTTTATCTAGTTCTTAGCAAAAGGATTCTGCTAATGGTTTTTGACATACTACTTGAAAAGCACCAGTGTGAGTGTTTATGTCAAAATGTTCAGCTTGGTGATCTTTTATGATCCATGAGGGCTGGTGATTAAAAGCCTGATAAATAAGGTGATGGTAACCCAGAGGCCCATTTAAAATTGTTTGTAATCATTCCTCCTGGTTTTTAATGACTTAAAACTGACAGCAGTTCTTAGCTAGGTCTCCAGACCTATGTGTTTAGATTTATTTTCCAAATAAAATTTTTAAAAAAATTAGTTTTAGATGTTGCAATATGATGCTCTCATCTAAAATTTGATATTTCTTTGGTTACAGACTGACTTCTTCACCTATTTTGAGTGTGGCCAAATAAGTGAAATCACACCACAAGACACTTCCGTTGTTTGAAACTGACATTATTTATTTTAAATTTGAACTTTAGTCCCAGTTTGTTGTCAGAAATTGGTTTGCAAACCCAATTTAAATAAACCCATGTCCAGACACCATGAAGTTATTTCTTAGTCAGTCACTAAAAAAAAATTCTTAGTTTAATGAGTAACTACTTAAGGTAGTTCACGTAATAGGTTTTTACTTTATTTTCACATATGTATTTATATGAATATGTGTATTTTTACACAGAATTTAAGTTTGTGCTTGCATTTATGGAAATAGAATAATGATTTCTCCTGTTTTGTAATGCTATTAATTTGTGATCTGAATAAAAATATTTCATAGGAAGAGGGTAGCATGATCATGAAATATCCTATTCCCAAGAGAAAAGAGCATGCAGTTGTGGTTTTGCTTACTGTAATGTCACTATGCAGACTACTCTGAAAACTGCTGTTTATAGTATCCCTATTATTTTTTCTTCAAGGTCTCTGGGATGCATTTTATATGAGATATGCTGTATGAACCATGCATTTACTGGACACAATTTTCTGTCTGTTGTGTTAAAAATTGTAGAAGGAGATACACCTTCTCTTCCTGACAGATATCCAGGCCAACTGAATGCTGTGCTGTGCAGGTGCGTTATTTTCTTATTTAGCAGCTTTTTAAGTTGATTTGGAAAATGGCTTAATTATGCCTTTTGGTCTTTAATGTTTCAGCATGTTAAATAAGAATCCTTCATCGAGACCATCAGCAGCAGAGATCCTGAAAACCCCTTACATTGATGAACAACTAAAGGTTTATAAGGAAAAGCAATTGCTGTGTATTTACTGTTTGAGGGTGTATTTTGCAAAAGCAGAGTGGATGCAGAAAAAAAAGTAGTTAGATAACGGTTCATGGCAACATTAATCCAGGGGCCTGTCAGAGCTGAATTACAAGTCGCGCTGAGGCAGGGCGGCCATGGGAAGAGAGCCCTTGTCAGTTTACATGCCGAGTGTATCCCCTTGTAACTGTTGTGAGCAGTAAGGAGAATGGGCAATCATACACAACAAGTGCAGATCCTTTGTGCGTGGGTAATATAACCTCTGAAATGTTCTGCTTGGTCATAGTTTTAACCAGAACCAGTGCATCTTGCTCTTTTGGTCCCTGCTTCAATGGATATTTGGGTTTCTAAGAAAGTGGGGTAGGAAACTGCTCAGTCAGTTTTTGTGTTAGGACTGTGTTGGGTCATAGCTGAGGAATCTGGGTCACTCCAGCCTCAAGTGTTGATGCCACTTCAATTTCATTTCCTCACAGAAGATACAGTGCAAGTTCACAAAACTGACTGTGAAAGACAAGGCTTTTAACTGGCAGAAAGGAGCTGCTCCCCTTTTTGATGCTGTGTAAGTATTTATAAATGTTCTACAGGCAGCAGCATGTGGAATTACAGGGTTGCCAAATCAGATCATGTTGTAAACACTTGTGTTCAGCTCATTGTGCTTTATGTTCAGGTAGAGCTGTTCCCCTGAAACACAGAAGAGCATCTGCATTAGTGAGACCCATCATTAAGGTTTGGGGAAAAAAAAAAAGGATTTGCAGATCAAATATATTTATTATATAACTGTGTAGTATACGCGTATGTTAATGTAATACCAGTGGTATGTAAATTATGACTTTTGTCTTCACATTACGAAGGTTTAGATCATTGCTGTAGCTATGCCATGATCATTTATAGTGCTGCTCTTTGTGTACCTACTAATTATTGAATGGACAAGCTATGTTGCCCAAGTGACTCCAATCTAAAAGCGTATATGCTTAAACTAATATTCAGATAATTTGTCCCTAGGATGCTGTTACATTTGTCTTGTTAACTAGAGTGAGAAGTTAAGGGTAGTGATGGTTCTTGACTCCTACATCAGTAGTGCCTTTGCACATAATCTCTCTTTTAGGCATAGATTTTTTTTAATTAATTAATTGCATTAAGTTACAATGCTGCACTATAAATTATCTTCCCGTGTGCTGCAGCATGATTATTTTTTGCTAAATGTTTGGAATATGCATAAAGCCATGAGCATTATTATGACTTTCATTGTATTTATGAGAATGTTTTCTGTCTGTATTGCTACTGATAAGCAAGATGCCAAATAATTTCTGCAATCCCAGATCTAAAGAGGTAGGAAAAAAAGTAGAGAGCAGAAAAATGGAGGAGAAATAATTTAAACTTACTGAATTTCCTACATCCGTTGTAATGAAGAAAATACTCTGATTGAGTGTACAAGGAGCTGCTTGTTATGGTGTCTTCCTCAATCACATGCTACTTTAGGTTTATGATATTTTTCTTGCTCACCAGGAACTATTTTTGCCATGTATTGTTGAGTCTAGTTTCTTCTAGTAAAGGCCTCTAATGACTTACTTTATTCCAGTCTCATGCAAGTCATAAATTTGAAATATTTAAGTAAGTGTAAAGCTGTACAAGTTCAGTTTCAGCTTGGTTGAAAAAAGGCATTTTTTTCCCCAAGAGATTCTTATAATTTAAATTAGGTTTTTTACAAGGGACGAGAAATATGTCTATATTATTCACACTTGAAGGGTTAGTTCCATTCTTATGAATAATTGAACTCTTCTTGCCTTTGTCCTTAGTCTTTCATATTTCAAACTAGTATTCATATCTTTACAATTGTTTCCTTCTATAATCAAGCTTTTAAAAGCATAATGAAAACTTCTCATTTATTAAAATTCTGATTTCAAAGTGATAGTCTAGAAGGAGCGTTACAATTTGCATGGTTAAAAAAATGGGCTCTTAGATGATCAGAAGTGAATCGATCTCATAAGAGCAAACCCAGAAATTTGCAATAAATACTTCGTATCTTAAATATAAGGTATAATAAATAAATATTGGTGTCAGTGAAGCATGACTGCCAAGGCATTTCAAACTATGGTTAATTTTTGTAATTATGATAGGATGCGAGATAAAACCCTGAGATTCCTACCCTTTTTCCAATACAGGACTAATATTGCTATCCTGTGTTGATAAATAGAGCTGAGATACCTATGTCAATAGCTCAAGCTCAGCTTTCAGAGATGGTCTGTGGAGGCCATTTTAGCGATGAATTGTTATTAATTAGGGCCAGAAATTCGAGAGGGCAACATGATAATTATACCTGTCATTAACGGCACATTATTACACTCTTTTATTCTAGCCAGCTTGTAACAATCAATGTAAAATGTATGGGCGATATTGCTTTTTTCTGCAGTTCTCATTTAAAGACTGCCTTTGTACTCAGAATATGCTCAATAATGAAGCCTGACAGGGTAAATATTTCACTGTGCCTCAACATTTATTCTTTTAAGGAGCTGAGTTTACCTTTTTCCATTCTCACCTGAAATGCCAGAAACGATTCACATTTTCATGAATCTAAAGTCTAAGTTCAAATATTTCAATTTAGAAGAGGCATTTGCTTTCCAGACTAAAGTCTATTTAGTCTGTTACAGTACCTCTGACTTTCTAATTATTCCATTTGAAATGTCACTATGTTTCAATATCAAATCAAAACACTGATATTTACTTTTTTTTTATGAACATGGGTTTGCATGCATTCAATTTCAGGCAGAGGAAGGTTCATTTGCAAACTCTGCAGGAACTGTCTGAAGTACAGAAAATGACACCACGGGAACGGATGAGGCTGAGGAAGTTAGATGCTGCAGATGAGAAAGCCAAGAAGCTGAAGTAAGTTGAGCACGATGTTCGCATTGTGCCCTAACCATGCGCTTTTCCCCATCCAACAGTCTGACAAGAGAGTTGGAGCTGTCCAAGTAAAAGTAAAAATAAAAAGGGTCTTCAGCTATGCAAAGTAAACAGGGATTTTGAATGACTTACATCACAGTGATCATTCATATAGACAACAGTAACAACTGGTACTCGGGGCACTGTGTTTCTGGTTAATTAAGTATATGAGAGATTTTCAGCTGTGTTTCAGTAGGAGGATTTCTTAAGGACTTGTCATGTGGAGGAGTCAGACATTTAGTTACAGTGCAACTCTTGTCAATTATTTTGGCATAAGAAATTTGCCAACGGAAGTTAATAGCTCAGAGGACAGTCTTATCCAACAGTTCAGCGGGTGTAATGCATGTGTTGTAAAGGTTTTATGATTTATGGATTTTTTTTCGTAGTCAAAAATATTGAGTATTTCATTTGGTATGAACGAAAATGGGAAAAAGCACCACATTAATTTTTAGTCTTTTCTTCAAAAGCACTTTGCAAAAAGCAATGTAAATTAACAAGTGTTTATTCATTATTTATAGAGGGAATAATTATTTTTCATCATGAGAATTTGCGTCTTACCTTTGTTATGCCAAAGAAAATCAGGAATTCAGTAAGGCAATGGTGTTCTAGTACAGAAGAACATTGTGAGGTGACGTGATGGAGTCTAAAGTATTTAAGATCTCTGGAAGAAACAAAAAAACCTGGGACTAATGATTTACTATTTCTTAAATATATTAGGCAAGTTGTGAAAGGACTCCACTACATTTAGTGGAGTTAGAAATCAGGCCTGAAATCTCTTGGTCAGTTCACTAAAACTCGCTTCGCCTTGAGCAGATGCCAGGAATGTTTTGCAGCATAGGAGTCTAGTTATGGAATTTGTTTTTCCGCATCTACTTTTAGAAGATCCCTTTGTGCACTCTATGATATCACATCTTAAGCACAACTACTCTCTATTTACAGACAGCTGGCAGAAGAAAAATATCAAGAAAATATCAAAAGGATGCAAGAATTCAGGTCCCATCATTTTCAGCAGCTGAATGTCAATGTCTTCCATGTAAGTAGGGGATGTTGCTTTGGAGGCCTCATTGATGCACAAAACCTCTCTGTGTCCCAAGTGCTTTCTTCAGTGTTAGAGGCACAGTCCTGTTCTGAGACTAATAATTTGGAAGTACCTCAACGGCTGGATCACTTAGTTGAGCCTGTGGATCTGTGATGAGGGAACGAACATTCAGTTATTCAGATATACTTTGACATAACTCTCTATTCATTGCAGTTTTCTTTCATTAAGTCGCCTCTAATCTAAATCTGCTCTCTGAAATGTACTTACTGATGGTTTGTGTGACATCAAATTTAAAAATACGTTCATTTTCAGGTTAAGATTAGAATTGTAATCTTTTAAATGCTCTAATTAGGCATGGCTATGGGTTCTTTTCATTTGATTAGCTAAAAATATGAACATTTCAACTGGCTTTTTAGTAAAAATTGAGTCTGGGCATGACTCCCAGTGTAAGCTGTCCTTTACTTTTAAGCTATCATCACCGAAAGACAGGCCTGTTCCCCTCTACTGCTATGTCTTATTGTAGAAAGAAGTGTCACTTTGGAAATAGTCAGGGAAAGCATCACAAAAATAATGAGGTTTGGTTATGTGCTTTGTCTTCTACATTTTCTTTCTCATTCACTCCAGTTTCTATTTCCCATTGTATCCAGAGAAAAATAAAAAAGTTAGATCTGTCTCTGCTTATGACTGAGTCACTATTGATCATTTACAAGAAAAGTTAGGGTGGAGTTTTTTGGGTTGTTTGT